GTCCTTCTCTTTGGAGCTTGTCTCAAGCCATACAGAAGAAGGGTAAGGGCTGGGAGCTCAACCTCTTCCATGAAGATTGATTCTAGGACATATTTGGGGCTATTTCTTGACAAGATTTGTGGTGCTTTTCTTTCCTATTTTGGTATCATTGTCATTAGGAATGAATTTAAAAGATTATTTTTTTGCCTACCAGCCACTGAGATGAGGTAAGAAGCATCCATGCTGCTGATGCCCAACGTCCTGGCTCTTGCTACCAGGTGGAAGATGGGCACGAAGTAGGCCAAGTGGCTGAACAAAAAAGACCAGGTGAAAATGAAGAAGATGGGATCTTTCAGTGGGGAGAAGTCGAGGAGAGGCTGTGAATTTTCTTTTTCGGTCAGTGGAAGGGATTTGTAGCTTCTCTTGGCCTTGGTGGCTATTTCTGGTGAGCAGCTGTCCATGGGGGGTTTCTCAAGCCCTTTCAAAGCTGATGTATTTATGGAACCGGAGACATCTCTGCCATGGGACATCATGAGTCCCTCTGTGGTTGGAAGGTCCTGTCCACTGCGAAGCTGTTTTTCCCTGTCAGTGGTTTCATCTAAGCATCCATCAGGGGTTTCTGGATCTTCCTTTGCCATTGAAGACCCATGGTCTTGATTTTTAGCAGAGGAGCGTTGAGGCAGTTGGGTGCTGATGGGTCGCAGCAGCATGCTGGAAGGCACGAGGTTTAACATGATGCCTCCAAAAATCAGGAGAGTACCTGAGGGAAGACAGAAGATGGTTGTTTGGGTTTTTTCCTTGGCATGGGAAAGGAGGAGCAGTAGGAAATGATCTTTCTAGGACAGGGTGTAGTTTGTATTGAAAGTGGAGAAAGCTCTGTCTTAAGGAGGAGGTATCTCACAGGAGCTTTGATTCCTGCTTTTCTAGCTGGAAGTCCCTTTCACTGTGATGCACGTGACAAATCCAGAGCTACCTCTGGGATTTGGGAGCTCGTTTTGTTTTCCCTCATTAGAAAAGTCCATTACATGTGATGGACCTTCAAGATAGTCTGAAACAATGTAGTAAAAATAGGGATTTTCAGTTCTGGTTTTGGTTTCCAAGGTCTCTGTTTTGACTCTGACTTCAGTTTAATGACTGATTCAGTGTTTAATCATTAACCAGATGTCCCCAAGCTATCCTAGAAGAGGCAGAGTTGTTCCTCAGTGCATCCAATTTTAATTTTTAAATAGATCCTCTTATCCTGCCCAGATATCCTCAAACACCCTCTTAATGCTGATGAATTTGGATAAATGGGAGATGTGCTCACCTTGCCAACCATAAAAATCAATGAGGAGTTGAGTGAACGGCGCTATTAGAAACGTCAACCCCATCCCGGAGCGGGCGATGGCATTGGAGAAAGCCAACCGTGTCCTGCAGCGCTTGGCCGTCATCACCGCAGCCGCCTGGTAAAGGCAAGCGAACCCCATACCTACAAGAAGGGGAGAAATAAGATGTCCACACCCCAAAAGTGACTTCTTCATATCGTGAGCTTTAGGGATTCAAAGTCACATCATCCCAAGCTCGTTGTCCCCATAGGATATGTCATCTCCAAAGCGTTCTGTCCTCAAAAACCCCCAAAGTCACGTCATCTTAATCTCATTGTCACCTTGCTGCTCTGCAGGGTTCATGGGCTGGAAGTGGGGGGACTTTTGCTGTTACAGTCAGTGGAGAATTGAGATTTCATGCGTGATGTTTAGTATCTGGGGTTTTGGAGGCTGTGGACTTTCAGTAAGGGATGTGAAAAGGCCAAGATTCATGTTGGATCTGGGAAAAAAATCCAGGTTAGTTGAATCTAGAATGTTGAAACTGGTATTTAATGGTCCTGAGCCTGGAGAAGAGGAGACTGAGAGGAGATCTTATGGGGGCCTAGAACTTCCTCCCAAGGGGAAGAGGAGGGGCAGGCGCTGATCTCTTCTCTCTGGCCACCAACGAATGCCAGGAGCAGAGGGAATGGCAGGAAGATGTGGCAGGGGAGGGTGAGGTTGGCCATGAGGAAAAGGTTCTTGAGGCAGAGGGTGGTGGAGCACTGGAACAGGCTCCCCAGGGAGGTGCTCATGGCACCAAGCCTGACAAGATTCCAGCAGCATTTGGCCAAGGCCCTCAGGGACATGGTGTGAATGTTGGGATTGTCCTGTGCAGGGACAGGAGTTGGACTCCATGATCCTGGTGGGTCCTTCCAACTCACAACGTTCAATGATTCTGTGGTTCTGTGATTCTAAGCTTTGAGTTTTCAGACAACATCTCACAGAAAGGAGCTGGGGATGTTTTACTATCAAAGGTTCAACATTAAAGGAGCTGCTTTTACTCATCATGCAGAGGAAAATCTCTACCCAACTGTGAGTTGCAGGCTGCTCACCTGGGAGAAGTCCCATGGAGACACAGAGGAAGGGGACGCTGGTGGCCTGTGTGCTCAGCAGACAACCCCCTCCGACCAAGCCTGCCCCGATGATGGAGGTCGGCCGCTCGCCCAGCCTCCTGCAGACCATGGCCACGAGTGGGGCTGGAAGGGAAAGGAAGGAGAAATCTCAAGCTGAAGATGTCAAATGATACTTTGAAGGACTTGGGGACTTGTACTGGGGTCGTGGCATCTGGTGCCATGGTGAGTGGCCCATGTGTCACCCTGGCGAGGGAGGGGGTGACACAAGAAATTCAGGATGGGTTAATACTCAGGAGAGCAGCCAAGAAAGCTTGCCTTGTACTCTGGGAGCTCAGGGGACAGGGCAGGGGAAGGAATCAAAGCCCAAACTTCCAGATGTCCTCAACCTGCTTCCTAATGCTCAGCTGCCATGAATTATTCAGCAACTGGTTTGCTCGGAGGTGTTCATACTGGTTTTGGGGGTGAAGCTTTGCTCTGCATGTAGATAATAAACCTGCTAGAGGGAGATGTTGTGACACACACACAATCCCTGTCCTGCCAAGACACGTGGGTACCAGCCGTGTCCAGCTTCCAGCACTCTGTGATGGACACGGGATCTGCAGAGCATCCTCAGTGCCTCTGAGAGCAAAGCAAATGGGTTGGAGGTTGAAGTGCTGTCCCCATCCTTACGGCTGCCAGCTCACCTCCTAAGAAGCGCAGAGAGGACATGATGGAGCCGATCCAGCTGATTTGCTCAGAGGAGCCTCCCACCTCCTCTTGGAAAGCCACGAAGAAAATCCCAAAGGTCTTGAGCATCCCCATGACGAGGACGTTGACCTGAATCAGAAGCAGATGGAGGTGAGATGCCAAAGGGGGTGGTCGGGCAGGAGGAAAAAGCTTTTCATTCTGCTTTCTTTTAAAAATATAAATTTCTTGGATAATATTTTGTGTTTAGGGAAAAACTGGGACATGTTAACTGGTGTAGAATGTGTGGGGACTATCAGCAGGATGGACTTGTGGTGGCCATGCTGCAGTTTCATTTTAACAGACCCTCAAAAAAAAAAAAACCTGTGCAAAGTGGCTTTTCCAAAGTAAAAGAACAAAATAACACCAGAGCCTGACTCTTGTAGGGGCTTTTTTGCTCTATAAGTTATTTTTTTAATACTAAAAAATAATCTAAATGGACCTCAGCACTCTGAAACATCACTAGGAGGTGATGAGGTGTTGAGTGGAGCAGGGATGGACATTAGCCGCTGTGCTTTCCCAGGCTTGTCCTGCCATGGGGGCAAAGGACAGTTTGTGTCCTTAATTTTAACTCCCTCCCTCCTCCCTGGTAGTGGGTGGTTAATAATTGGCAGCCAGTTACTTTGGATGGAGTGGAACTGGAGAAAGCTCTCCTAGCTTGGGGGATGGCGTTGTCTTCCTCCCTGATGAAGATGGTGTGTGGTATTAAAGCCTGGAGCATGGAGAATTGGTGCCTTTAAGTGGTGTTGAAATGTCCAGTCCTCTTGGGAGAGCAGAACCAAGTGGGGATGTGCTGCCTCACCCTGTGCTGCTCCTGCCATCAGTCCCTGGGGACCCATCTCAGCTCCGATCCTCCACTGCCCCAAGATGGGATCTCACCCTTCCCAAAGGTACAAAACCCACCTTTGGGGTCTGACACCCCAGTGATGGTGTGTACAAGTAGGGAAAAATCATCTTAGCGTTGCAAGCTGCCCTTTTGGTCCTGAGCTGCAGGTTGGACACCTTCATTCCTGTCAGCTGAGATGTTCTCAGGTGGCATTTCCAAGGGGAAGGTGTGTTACACAGTTAATTTTTGCCCTTAGCTCGGTGGGATCAGCCTGTCCTGTGCTCTGCTCCACATGAGTGAGACTCCAGACTTTCCATCTGCCCCAGCTTCAGGAGGGTTTAGGTGAATCTGTTCTCTGCTTACCAAGAAGAAGTGGAACACCACTCCCCATGCCCACCCTCCGTCTGCAGCTTTGGTGCCTGGGCTCTTCCTGGCTGTCGGAACCTCCGGATCTTCCTCTTTCCTTTCCCCTGGAAATGAGAATTTCAGGACCTATAAACAACTGAATTGTTGTTTCAATTTACCTGCAGAAATCGCTCAGGTGGAAGCAGCAGCTGCCTCTGAACCCTTTAGATTCTTTGCTCTTACTGAGGTAGGCACCAGGATTTCACGTTCAACTTGGAAAAGCTTTGGAAGGTGGGTGAAGCTTTGACCGACCTTTTTTGCCAGCAGATGTGAAGTTGCACATGATCTCTGCCTGCAAATAGTTTAATATCCTTTCTCTTTCCTACCAAATTACTGGAACCACTTAAACTTTAAGAGATTTTTAGGTGACAAGCACCTTGCTGTTGCTTTAGATCAGATAGTTTGGTTGGTTTCTGCCAGAACTTGGGGGGTCACCATCTATCTGTACCCATCTTGGAGCTCTCGTGGGAAGCTCTCCCTACCCCATCCTTCTCTGCTCGTCTCCCTTCCATCCTCTTGCCCATCCCAGACCTCTGGCAGCAGCAGGATCTGGCCCGAATGAGCCAGAACAGATGGAGCTGATGAACCCAAAATGTTTTCTTACCACTTTGCTGCTGCATGCTGGAAAATCCTCCCTGAAACACTTGATTGTGAAGAAGAATCGTCTCTTCATTTGCTCCAGAGACTAAATCCTCCCTTCCTGACTTGGCACCCCGAAGTTTGGTCCTTCATTCGCCTCCGTCCTTCCCGATGAGCCCCGAAGCAGGACATGGAGCCTGGAAAGAGCTGGGTGGACGGAGCCCGTCCTCCTCCTCCTCCTCCCCGGAGGCAGAGCCTGGCTTGTGGGGCCCCAAGGCCAGGAGTCCCTCCCCTTCCCCAGCCGGGAGCAGGAAACCCGGAGCTTTCGGAGTAGAAATCCCGTTGGGAGGACAGAAGAGGGGAAGGCTGCAGGGATATAGCTCCTGGCAAAGCCCTGGGTCTTGCCAGGCATTGAGCGGAGCAGAAGGTGGCAATGATGGACTCAAGCCAAGCCTGGGGCTGCTGCTGGCTGCAGGGGAGCAGGGCTTGTTCCTGCCTGTCCTGCCTCCTGCACGGCCCTTTGCCTGGGAAAATCTGTCACGTAAGAAGGAACAGTCTGGAAAGCTTTAGGTTTTTCCAGCTGAGATGCTCAGCAGCTGGAGAGGAGCAGCCGTGCGGCCACAGCCCTTCAGCAGAGCTGGTAGTTGAGCGGGATTTGAGTTGGCTCCGTGCCTCTACTGTAAATATGCACAAAGTCCCAGGTAAATAAAGCCCTCACGCTTCCTCCTCCCCTGTTTCGGTTGACCCGTCACCCAAATTGGCATTACTGAGGTCAGATAAAATTGGAGGATTGTGATATGGATCTCTGCTCCCCTCCCTTGGCAGAGGGAGCAATGCTCTAGCTTGCTGTAGAAGCCCAGAGGTGTATGGTGGAGC